GATTTATGATATATATCACTAAATAACAAATTAATCGATGTTTAGCATTTAAATTTAATCGATATAAAACGATTAAGTGTTATATATCGTTATAAATCTACTTGAAAAAATTCGTGATGACTGGCGTAGTGTATGACTCTTTCTTTATCTTGAGAGTCCTTCTGGGAGAGTATAGCTCCCAAGGCCGTACCAGAGGCGTCAGTAAAGAGAAGGAAAGGCTTGTCGAAGTCAGGATAAGCCAAGATGGGGGTGGTAACCAATTTTTCTTTAAGGGTTTGGAAAGCAACTTCCTGGGCAATTGTCCAGAAATACTTATTATTTTTCTTTAACAAGAAATAAAGTGGGGCAGCTATAGTTGAGAAGTCTCAAATAAACCAGCGGTAATAGGAAGCCAATCCTATAAACCCACGTAGTTGTTGAAGGTTTGTGAGGGTGGGAAAATTCTTGACAGCCTCCACTTTGCTGGGGTCTGTAGAAATTCCGAGAGCATTTATGATATAACCCAAGAACCTGAGTTCTTCTTTGGCAATGTGACATTTCTTGGGATTTAATTTTAAACCAGCCTTTTTGAGGCGGTCGAAAACTTCAATAAGATGGGTAAGATATTCATCGAATAATTTAGAGAAAATATTGAGGTCGTTCAGATAAACAACGACATATTGACCAATGAGGTCACTGAAAATTCTGTCCATCAGCCTTTGGAAGATTGCTGGGGCATTAATGAGGCCGAAAGGCATCACATTAAACTCGAAGGTGCCAAATTGGGATATGAAGGCAGTCTTTTCTCTGTCTTTGGGGTCTATCTCGATCTGCCAGTATCCACTAGCCAGATCGAGGGAAGTGTACCAGGAGGAAAAACGAAGGGTATCTAGTAGGTCGTCGATTCGGGGCAAAGGATAATTATTTTTTTCGTCACCGCATTGAGACGTCGATAATCGATACAAAACCGAGTCTTGTCTCTTTGTTTGACAAGAACTATGGGGGAGGCCCAAGGACTTCTGGAAGGTTGGATAATATTATCGTTCAACATCCGGCCAATCTCTTCCCGAAGAAATTCTTTTTCTTTAGGGGAGGTCCTATAGTATCTTTGCCGAATTGGTGGGGCATTATCTGTCTGTTTAGTATGGGTCACGAGGTTGGTTCGTCCTAAATCCTGGGGTGTCCAAGCAAACAGGTCACTATAGCCTGTTAATATTTCCTCAATTTTGTCATGGTTATCATCGTCAAGCTTGCCTATATCCAGGTCGTAGGAGGACTCTTCCAAGTCGTCGTGATAAAATTCACCACTTACTTCTTCACCGTCATCTGAGTCAGAAAGATCATACCCGGAGAAATCTTTATTGGAGCAAAGTAGGACTTCATCATCCTCTTGCTCATAATCATCATCACTATTCATTCTCCACCAAGCTTCATGGGACCCCAAGCCCTCAGGTTGTTCGTTGTATTGCGAGACCATCGATTCATCATCAGAATCTTTATGGCCCGAGGATACTTCGGTTACATAACAGTAATCGAGCCAATACTCTTCTTCTTCTGAATAACCGAAGAGTCTATCCTCTAATTCTTCTTCTTCGTACTCACTCCCGGTTTCTTCCTCTGATGTGAAACCTTTAGAGACGTCATTCTCTTCAGCGGCAGTTTGGGTAACTTTAGGAGGGCAGTCATTTTGAATAAGGGTATGTTGGAGCTTTCTGAACTCTACCGGCACAGTAATTACTTTACCTTCCCAATGAAAAGTCATTTCGGAAGTATTGTAATCTATTTTGGCATTTACCCGGGAAAGCCAATCGTTTCCAACGATGGCTTTGTACGACATAGCATCAGTTACTACTACATCAACCGGGACCAAAGCTCCTCCGACGGTAAATGAAAAGTTTGAAATCTCCCCAATGGCCTATTTACTTTGACTATGTACGTTTACCATATTGATGGTGGACGGATGTTCCACCTTAATGCCCAATTCACTAAGCAAGTTAGTGGTAACTACACTTCCAGAAAACCTACTGTCGACGATTAATGGTACCACACTTTCATGTATGGTGGCGTCGCAGTACATAGCTGTTGACTTGGGGGTGGGTTGAGATTTGCAAAAGTTTTAGCCTTCTTTTTCTTCATAAGGGCTTTCTTCTTTTGCAGACCCGTAAAAGTTCAGTCCGCATAGATGGAACCATCCTAAGTAATTGCCCTACAGTAATGTTGGCTGGCTTATCCTGATGTCATCCACGATTGAATATGGAGGAACTAAGGCTGAAATTTGTGGTGGGTCATTTTCAACCTTCTTTCTTCTAACTGGGACCGTTTTTGGCTCTTTAGTAGTTTTGGATCCCTGGGAACCGTTGTAATGGGTACAGAAGTTTCTTGACCAACTTCTACTTGTTCCGGGGCCAATTCCTCAACTCGCCGTTTCTTACTACGAGTGTGTTGGGATGGCTTTTCTACTTCTTCGGCTGGGAGATACAATGGTTCCAATATCTCCTCATGTAAGTTCAAAAAGGTTTGGGCCTCATTACCTCTGTTTTGGGGTGGTTGGCCATTGTTGTTGTTGGCTGGGGGTTATTGGGGACTCTATTATTTTGTACAATGGGGATGGCGTTAGCCCCAGTGGCTACATTGTTACGGGAGCTTGTGGAGGTGGGTTAGGACAATTTCTTGCATAATGTCCTGCCTGACCACAACGGTTACAAGTGAACAGGGTTGCATTATTCCAGTTATTGGGGCCACGCCTAGGAGGCTCTCTAGTCTCTTGTATCCGGGTCATCATATTGTTAATGGCCTCTGTCAATTTGATAATTGGGTCCTCCGGTTTTGGCAATGGAGGTGGGGCCACAACCATAGTTGGGTGACCAGGATTGGACAAATTACTGAGGGCTTGTGTGGGCAGTACCGCATGGGTCCAATATGAGCGGGATGTATGTAGGATAGATAGGGGTTATAGCTAAGGGGATTTTGCTTGAATGAATTTTCGAAAGCTTTAGCCCTCTCATAGGCAGCATTAAGAGAGTTAGGCATAAACGGGGCAACGGAAGTCGCGAGTTCGGGTCTTAAGCCGTTAATGAACTTCTGTGCTTTAGCCGTGTCAGGATATCTATGACTACCTGACTCAACCCGTCGAAGCAGCTCTTCGATTGAAACGTGGTAAGAGTCGACGTCTTCAACGGGGCCTTATTTCCACTGCGTCAGCTAGGCGAACCATTTACTTTCAAGGGCTGGAGTTCGAAATTGCGCTATAAATCATGGGCGGAAACTTTGATCCTAGTGGTCACGGTCGTTCCATCTATCAATGGGACGTACGTTTCGGGCGTTAACCCACCACGTGGCAGCCGTACCCTTCAAGTAGGGAATGACCACAGGTATTTTTCTTTGGTCCTGTACTTGGTTGGCTTCTAAAGCCTTTTCCACATCTTCAAGCCAACTTATGGGGTTCTGCTCACTACCAGAAAAATCTGGGTAAGACACCAGATTCAGTTCTCGATTCTGGGCGGCTACATTGATGGCTGGAATGTTGATTTGTGGGGCCGGGGCGTGCTGTATTTGCATGACAAGTGCTCCAATTTGTTGGGCCAGTAGAGTTACAGGGTCGTTTTGGACATCATTTTGGTTACCAAAATGATTATGCTGAAGAATTGGGATGGGCTGGATGGGTTGGTTAGGTTGATCGATTTGATTGTCATCATCCGGATCGATGAGTAGTGGAACTTGGTTTTGATTATTGTCTTGGGCCATATTGTTGTCCTGAAGGTTTTCTTCTAATGTCTCGCTATTGAAGGTATCAGCTAATGGATCTTTGGTGAATCGATTAGTTTCTTGATAAGCAGTCAAAAATTCGTTTATAAGAGTAGGGAAATCGTCAGGGCGCTCGCTATACCGAAAACTAAAAATGAAACGGGTTAAGAGTTGGTCGGGGATTTGGTTAACCTTGAAATTACTTAGTTTGTCGAATCTTCTTAGGGTGTGTTGATAGTATACAATGGCTAGTTGGAAAGTACTGAACCAGACCCAAAAGGTGAGAAATCGTGGAGAAGGTTCTTGCGGCAGATAACAGGTTACACAAGAATCATCACGATAATATTTAGTCAAATATTCTATTGCCTGTGGCGTTTTTCCGAAGAGATAATGATGTCAGTCGTGTTCAGTGGTATTTCTAAAGTGTTAGTCAAAATTATTCATGCGGTTCTGAAAACTGACAGGCATATATTTCACACAACTGGCACCAAATGTTACTATCGGGTTGGAAGAGTGTCAGTCAATGGATGCCAGGTTAGGTCAGGATAGTGAACTGAATTTTAAATTTGTGGGTGAAGTGGCGTTCTAGGACGGCGTGGGAAACTATTCTAGTGTTTGTTGGGGGAAAGCGAATATCGTTGCTGATATGAAATGGTGGGTAGCTATATATAGCGGAACAGGGAACTGTGAGGTATTATTTAAGGAATGCACGTGGTGAATTTAGGATATGCCGGTGTCTAAATCAATCGCGATTGTCCAATTGTTGACAATCCGAAACGGGATTGATTTAAGGCGATCAAAATGATATATATGTATTATAAACGTGAAGATGTATTCACGTATTGTATGGGGAAAGATAAAAGATCGTGAAGATGTATTCACGACGACTTTAGATAATAAAGTCAAAAGAACTACAGTAGAAACAAAAGTCTAATAAACACGCATTAAGATAGCTTAATGCTAACAAGAAGCATGTGCTAATATGGCACGGTTTTTTTTTATTAATGATATCAGGCTTCAATCAGCTGGTCAATGATAAACAATAGGAAAAATGTGGAGAGCGAAATCTTTATTGAGCGAAAATATCGAGCCCTTAAATACATATTTCTTTAATATATTTAATTTTACATTAGTCTATTGACAGATGAATTTTATTCCCGTCTCTACCTTTAAGATTTACCCCCAACACCAATAATCCCCTTTCGGGAGGAGCACCAGCGTAATAATTAAACGCTTTTTCTTCATCCTTAGATGAATGCAGCGAGGACATGCGTGAATCAGACAATTCTCACGTCTGATTATGCATCAGCGCATATAACCTTCTGAAATAAGGTTACGAAATCAATCGTACGATGACCAATTTTGAAGTTATTGGTCTTCTTCACGAAACCGTTCTATGCAGTTTCGGAAATTCCTTTTGCCGCTAGGGGTCATGGATATTTATTTAAGCAGACTCGGACCAGTGATCGGTTACAATAGTTAGAATAATACGACATGCATCGATGGAACATCCTGCAGAATTTGCCAAATAAAGAAATAACGATACGCATATATAGAAATCACAAATAAGGAAATAAAAATAACTAATATATGAAATACAAATAAAGAAATAATGGATGGCACAACTGCCGTTCTAAATAAAGAAAAAAAATATATCATGTGAGAAGCGTAACATCGGGCTTGAATTTCATGCGATTTGTACTACACAAAATTATTTTGGGCCCGTATAAGTAAATATTTTCACTTTGGGCCCGTATTTGTAATTATTTTCATTTTTGGGCCCTTATTTGTAAATTCCCCTTTATTCTTTCTTTTCCGTGCAATATCATTGCAACTTTAAAAATATTTTAGATTTCTAAGTAATTATATGTATAAATGACGACTGTGCGTACATACTTTAATTTTATATCAAAACACTAACGATTATCTATCATACTATTAATTAGTAAACAAACCTTTTACAGCTGCTAGGAAATAACTTTATTACAGTATTACGAATCGATTTACTCTTTAGAACTTATAAAACACACTATCCTTCGAAGCATTTATTTTTTAATTCCTTAAAATTCATTTTTCGTTAAGCTCTTTAATCTATTTACTTAATAAACTGATTTTATCAAATTTCCTATATTAACTCCCGAAAGCCATAAGAGCGAAAGTTCTAGTATCAATAACAATCGGGGTGCAGTTACACCTTATAATCTCCGAAAAGTTCGAATTGTGATTCAAGCTCTGTGATTATTTTCATACTTTTATCAGTCCCATTATTATTATTATTATATTTATTTTTTTAGACTTTCTTTTTTTGGGAAGAAGGCTTTATTGTTTTTAAGAAGCAAACTTTTATTAGTCTAGGATAAATATTTTAAACGTATATTTAAAGACAAATTTGATTACCAAATCAACAACCTAAATAAACCAAAACTTGAATTAAATTGTGCACATGGCATCGAATCATAAAATATATACTTATAAGACCACTACGCATTTCAAAATCACCTAATACAAATTTAAAAATTTACAGGTCGTTATGCCCAAGGTTCATTATAAAGATGTTAGTTATTCGGAGTTCCGATTGTAAATGTAACACAGATAAAAATAATTTGAACAAACTATAAAAGATTTTAGAGGTCTAAAATATTCATCTGAGTTAAATTAACAAGAACAAATCTGTCTAAGTTGGTTTTTTTTTTTTTGTGTGTGTATTTTTACTAATATTACTTACATAGAGACCAACCTTATTTTTTGTATAAATGTGAACAAACGAATGGAAAAGAAAAAATAATTGCATAAGAATAAAATGATTAGATCAGGAAGTCGAATGATTATATGATTGTGCTCTCGGTTAGTGAGCACACTGGACTGTCTATAACGTGAAAACGTCCGAATTTTATTGAATCAGTTATTATGAAGAGTCATATTATTTGCCTCATGCTAGATTGGACCTTTCCCGCTTAATGATCTGAGTACTTAATCGCGTGTGGTATATGATCCCTGACTAGTTTTCAATCTTTTTGATCTGTGATTTACCGTTACGTCAACTGGAATTTCAGCGCTAATAACTGAAATAGAACCTACTTTACATAAATAATAAATATTACATTAAATAATAAATAACTTTAACGATATTGCAGAGTATATAATCATACCATATATGTCAGGTTGATTGTTTCTTTCTTTATACTGTTGAGCAATATCATGTGTATTAATAAATTTACTCGCATATCGATATATGATATATGAATGTTCTTTTAAAGTTATTGAAAGCTCTGAAATTCTCATATCAGCTGCTGTAAATTCATTAATTATTTGTAATTTTTCATCAGACTCATTAAATTTATTCAGTTTGTTAAATTCATCGAGTTCGTCAGATTCTTCAGATTCATCAAGTCGATTAACAAGACTATGCCATTCGGAAAGCTTATCACGAATTGTTTCAGCAGTAGGTCGTTTTTGCGGGTCTGAATTCATGCATGATTCTGCCAATTAAATATAGCAGCTAGGAGTGCTTAAAGCAAAATCAGGTCTCTTTCCACTGCAAATTTTTAATGCAAGTTCAATATCAAATAAATGTCCATAAAATGGACGTATTCCGGTAGTCATCTCTGCCATAATAACGCCAAAACTATATATATCGGCTGCTGATGTATATTTCTGACCCAATAAAACCTCAGGAGCAATATAAGGCATAACTCCGTAAATTCCATTTTTTAAAGCGTTTTCTTCATTTTTTCGTGATAATCCTAAATCTGCAATATAAGATTTTAACGAACCAAGCCATGATTCCTCTTTATGTGCAAGATGTTGCCACAGTGAAGGTCACAATGTATATATGAATTTTAATTAAATCCTTTGAAATATCGATTAATAAAGATAATTTATCTTCCCAAGTAAGCTCTTCAAAATTCGATGTTAAATAATTATGAAGATCTCCTTTATTAGCGTATTGAAATACCATCATATATTCATCTTCTGTATTTTGAGTTAGTCCATGTATTAAGAGTCTGCTGCCACTTAATCTACAGTCCATATGACTTTTAAACTATTATAAAAATAAAGTTAGTAAATTTTTGAAGTATAATATACGATTAAATTATGGCTTTAACTTACTTCTTTTAGAAAATCATTAGAATTTTTTTTTGATCCAGGTAAAGTCTTGAGTGCTACCTTAATATACCGTGGACGTATATGTTCGGCTTTGTTTAATGTATTTTGCTGCCAGTCGGCTAAAAATACTGTACCAAATCCTCCTTTACCTATCTCTTTTATGATATTTAATTTTTCAAACGGAATCCATTCAATGACTTTCTTATGTTCAGTAGCATTAAGCTGAAACTCTTTAATACAATCATCAATATCTTTATTACCACTTGTCCATTCCTGAGTTATTCTACAAGGATCGCATGATTGACACCAATTGGTTGAAGTATTAAATCGGTTACAATTTGTACATTTGCCATGCCAATAGTGTCTTTTAGAAGCATACTCATTATTATCGTTGTTATTAATTATACTTTCAAATACCATCATATATTCACCAATTGCTGTTTGTTGTGTTATTCCGTATATTTTAACTATATTACTTACTAATTGTATTTGCTTTTTAAACTTGCAAAATGAATAAAATATAAACAACATTATTAATGATGTCAGTTTGTTAGAATATGAACCAATAATAATAATTTAGCTTACTTCTTTCAAAAAATATACTGGATTCTGCGAATCAGACAAAATCTTAAGCTCAACCAAATATGATGGTGTACGCGACTGTTCGCAATTTAAAGTTAATCGTTTGCCATCTAACCAAATTGCTTGATATACATAACCAAATTTATCATCACTAATCTTTTGAAAGTTATCTAATCTATTAAAAGGAATCCATTCAACCAAGTTTTCATACTCTGTGGTCTTAAGTTGAAATTCTTTAGTACAATCATCAATGTTCTTATTTCCACTTGTCCATCCTTCAGCCATTTTTTGAGGATCACATGTCCGGCACCAAGCTTTGGATGTGTTGTATCGGTCACAATGAACACATTTTCCATTCGAAATATTTCTTTCGGGACAAATTTCATCAAATACTAACATATACTTACTAGTAGCTGTGTTTTTAGTTAGTCCATATACTTTAAGTTTGTTATCCCTTATAAAGTTCTTAAACTTTTAATAGGTAAGTGTAAATTATAAGTACGTAAAAATAAAAATACACATGGCATTATATATAAAATTCATCTTACCTCTTCCAACGGATCCATGGAATTCTGAGAGCTATTAAATGTTTTGAGTGTAATTACACCTGGTAGCGTACGTGATTGTTTGTATTTATTCTTATATT